GCATCAGGGCTGGCACGCAATACGTGCCCAGTAAATAGCTATTGTATGAAACTATAAACTAAATGAATTAGTACTGAAAAGAGAAAACTTCAGGGCTACATGCTGGGAGCATTTGGATTTTAAAATGTGTGTGAGATGTTAAATTACTAAGAGAATCTCAAAAAGTGGTCTTGCTGCAGCATAGATTGTTTGCCCTGTCATTTCTCTGTTGATAAAAAGTTCCAAGAATAAACTCGTCATTATTTGAAGATGCCTCAGTGAGGGCCAGCACGTAAACCACAGCAGCAAAGGCAGCTGACATTCTCTGGTTGTTTATTCCTGGCCAGGCTTTGCACTGTGTACTTTCCACGTATTCTCTCACGGAATCCTCACAAGAACTCTGAAAGGTGGATGCTGGGGTTTTTCGTTTGCTTGGTTTTAATTTCTATTTTCAGGTGTGAAGACCAAGGCCCAGAGAGTTTAAATAACTTGCTTGAGGTCCCTCAGCTAGGTATGGCAGGCCCAGAGTGGAGGGGAGTCAGGGCGGACTCAGTCCTTGGCCTGGCATAGAGCGCGCCGCCCCTCCCTGGCAGCCCTTCCCCTCATTAACCGGAACAGCTCTCTTGTTATCTCTTTTATAAATTTATAAATGGAGCCTCTGCCTTGGTTTTCTTTGAAGCCAGAGTTTTGTGGCTAAAGAAGAATTTGAAAACTCTAGGCCTGCAGGACAGATTTGACCTTTGCAGCCTCCTGCCCTCCTGCCGTTAGATCTCCCGCCGTGCTTCTGCCTGAAATGCGGCGGACCGAAATGCTTCTAAGGCATTTTCCAAGTCTTGAGGCAGAGTTGTACTTTCCTGCCTGGTCCTCCTGCGGAAGACCCACCCCTCTGTCCTAGCTCCACTCACGCCCTTTCCAAGTAGTGGCTGACGGGTTTGTCTCCGCCACTGGGCCGCGCCTCTGGGGAAGCTGGACCAGGCCTGCCTTCTCTCTGGAGCTCCTCGGCCCGGCGCAGGATCTGGCACAGGACTCGGGGGCCTCAGCCAGTGCTTGATGAATGAACTTACGCCAAGTGCAGAGCTGGTACTCAGAACCAACCAGCTGAGTGCAGAAGCTGGAGGACAAACCAGCGTGTGCTCGGAGAACCCCATGAATGCGAGATGGAGATGATCAGATGTATTAATCACTGGTTTGGAAAGGAATTAAAATATTTCCATAATATGGTATGTTTCTTTTCTAAAACAGATGTGCCCTCGTTGTTTCATGAGGAAGTAATTAAGTGTATTTGATTAAAACATTCATAAACACTATCATTTATTCAAAGCTACTATATGCTGCTATCTTTATTGGTCTTTATATGTGTTATGTCTGGTTCTTCCCATCACCCGGTAAGGTGTGTTTTATTATCTTCATTTTAGAGGTGAGAAATCTGAGGCTCAGAGAGATGGAGTAGCTTGCCCAAGGATACTTAGCTTCTGAGTGATAGGAGTGGGAATGAAACGGGTCTGGCTGACTTCAAACCCTGTGCCTTCCATCACGCCAACTGCTTCTGAACTTGTATATGAGATACCATTCAGCCCAACACCCCAAGCCAGCATGCGTATTCCCTGTTTCCTCTCTACCCTCCTCGTGCCCTCCATCGCCCCCACTTCTTACCCTCTCACTGCACCCCACTCTCCATTTCCTTAGATGATTGCCTCTGTGCTTGCATCCTGAAACTGAAACATTTTTGCCACTGTCAATAATAATTGAGTACTATTATGTGTGGAAACTGTCTGGTGTTAACCATTTACTAATGTCACATTTATATTAATACAAAATTTGTATTATGGCCAAATTACACATATTACGATTTTGTTTTCTTTATACAGCCTTTTACTCCTAAGCTTTCTTTGAGTCCTAATACATATATATATTTTTTTTATTTCTGAGAGAGAGAGACAGCATTAGCAGGGGAGGGTCAGAGAGAGAGGGAGATACACAATCTGAAGCAGGCTTCGGGCTCTGAGCTGGCTGTCAGCACAGAACCTGACGCGGGGCTCGAACCCACGAACCGCGAGATCATGACCTAAGCGAAAGTCAGACGCTTAACCGACTGAGTCACCCAAGCGCCCCCTAATTTATATATTTTTTAAAATAGATGGTTTTTTCCTTCATGTAAAATGTAAATGTGACAATATAGTGAAAAGGAAGTTGGTTAGATAAAAATTTTTTTGTTAAAGATCGTCAAAGCAGTGGGATACTTATTTCAAATTATATATGAAATAGAAGTTTGAAATACCTCTGTTTAGAGAAGTTTAAGAGGTTTCCTACAGACTCAGATTCATTTATTTTCTGCCCCTCCTAGTATTTCAGCAGGATTAAGTTTTTTGAATCACTGGATCAAGTTTTAATTTTCCTTTTCCTTCCTTATACTGACATATGCTTTGGCAGAACAAAAAAGAGACCTAAACATGTCAGCATGATTTTTGTTCAATGAATTAAAAACCATAAAAGTAACAAGATCTGATCCAAATCCCTAAACTCCTGACATGGTGGTTTTGTCCATTTCAGTCCCAAGATTCGTATTACTGACTTTAAAAAGCTTTCTGCCTGGAAGCAGAAGTGATGGCAGCAGTGCATAATTTCTCTGAAATAGATTGCCAGGGGTAGGCAGCACAGAGTAGGGAAAACATACAGGACAGAGCGATCTGGATTTGGATCCCAGTCCTGCCACTCAGGCTCATGGGTAAGTGACTCCACACCTGTGCACCTCGGTTTCCTCATTGGAAGATGGGGGGGGGGGGGAGTAGGTGAGAATCTAGCTGGAAGAATGGTTGCGAAGGTCTATGAGGGAATGTACTTAAGTGCTCCCCTGGCATAGATGGGCTTAATAATGGCGGTAATCAGGATCATTTCTATTTTGAGAATACCTTCAAATAGCTGAATCCAGAAGAATTGATATATAATGCAGCCGCCTGCTTTGTCTTCAGAGCTCATCTTTCTCAAAATTCTTTAATTTTTTTCCCTCATCCTGTCAGGGAAAAAAAGAGCAGGTAGATGCCACTAATCTTAAACACCTGCTTGTCGGTGTTTCACATGGAACATATACCCAGAACTTTAGATCATCCTTACCACGCAAGAACCACATTGATTGGAGGGTCAAGAACCATATGCCAGTGATGTCCATTTCAGGACCCAGGGGGCAGAGGAATTTTGTCATATTAAGACTTTTGGCTTTTGAGACAGGTCAGCCTCGGTTTGGCCCAAACTTATTGGGCCTCATTTTCTTCATCTGTAAAATGGCGCTCATAATCTTCCAAGACCCTCCATGGTATGGGTTTCCAGCCTCTTGTTACTTTCTTGTTATCTGTGCTCAGGAATCCCTCAAATGAAGCATGGTCTCTGCAACTGAAAACCTTTGTACATGCTGTTTTCTTCCTTCTTGAAATCCATCCCTTGCCGTGCCAGCACGGACCACCGGCACTCATTCTTCAGAACCTGGTGTGTGTTTTAGTTAGGACAGGACAGGCTACGTGGTAGTAACAGACAACCTCCAAGTCTCTGTGGCTTATCACAGAAATCTCTTCTTGCTCATGCTGCCTGATGGGCGCTGTTTATCATAGTCACTCTGGGACCCAAAGTGATGGAAGCTCCATCTCCACTTTTACTGCAGCCAACAGAAACCAAATGGCAGAGCACACACTGGCTATGAAAGCTTCTGCCCTGAGGTCCATCATTTCTGCTCACATTTCACTGACCAGAGCAGTTGTGGGGCCACACCAGACTTTAGAGGGGAGAGGAAAAATGCATTCCTACTGGAAGGAATAAGAAGAACACTAGCGAGCAGACCTAAAGATGACTGTATTTAGGTATTATTTCTTCAGCAGAGTCTTCGCTTACTTGCCGCCTTCCCCAGCTTGGACAGTTCCTGGCGAGTTAGCTGAGCTTTTGTGCTCCTGTGGCACCTTGTATTTCTCTGCTTCCCTACCACAGCACTTCCCACACTCCCACGGTAAATGTGTCTTTACGACCTCTGTCCCTGGCTCAGATCCCTAAGAACACAACAGAGGTCTATTAGTGTTGACCCTATCAGTGTTGACTATAGGTCTGTTAACCATTCACATACCCAACACTGGTTTTGAAAGGTAAGTAGGGTAAGTAGACACTCAACTGTGTATATGACCAAGAAACAAAGGCAGAGCAAATGTGTTGGGTTACTTTGCTGGGTTGTTGTGATGAGGCCACGTAACATAGGAAGAATAAGTGCCTCATATAGTTGTAAGGTTCAGCTTACAGAGTGCCTGTCCCAGGAGTTTGTAGTAGGCCCTCAATGTGCTTGTTGGCATTGTTGAGGAGGAAGGAATAGTGAAAATGACTGACATTAAGCACCTGCCTGTGTCAGACACTCTCATGGCTTCTTTATGGAAGTTTACTGGTCTGGTGCTTGTCACATGTTGGGACTAGTGTTATGTCTTGGTCAGTTTTGAAGTGATTCAGAAGTAATTTGCTATAATAATAAGTAAGATTCTGAAGATTGCTACTTACTTGTTTCAGATGATTTAGAGATGTGACGATGGCGCCATTTCCATAGCATCATCGCTCATTTGCATTGCATCTTTAGTGGGAGAGAAAGGGGTAGACTTAGAGCTTATAATAACTTCCCCTTTGTTGAGTACTTAAAATGGGCCAGGGCCAGTACTAAACAGTTTATGTGCACCATCTCATTTAATCTTCGCACCATCGCCATTATACAGGTGGGGGCTCTGAGAAGAGGAAGTGAGTTATGTGTAGTCAAGTGGCATGATCAGGGCACCCCAGCTCAAGCTTTTAAGCAGTACTCTTTCTAGCTCTCCTCACCTAACTCACCAGGCACTTTACTTGACCCTGAGCAGAGCCCTGGGCACGTTTCAGGAACGTAAAGATCATCACCGAAGCTACAAACTGTGGAGCTAGCGGACGGAGTAATGTTAAGTTCTTGGCTAGCAGATAATATGTAGGATGATTTTTGCTGAATGTTCTTTTTTGTTTCTGTTTTTTATTAGAGTGACCAGGGAGCACAGGGAAATGCTGGTGAAACTGGCCAAACAGAACACCAACAAGGCCAAGGATTCTTTACGGAAAGTTCGTACCAACGCAATGAATAAGCTAAAGAAATCAAAAGACAAGGTCTCGGAGGACACCATTCGGCTCATAGAGAAACAGGTACTATTGCCAACAGATGTAGTACTTATGTTTCTGACCCAGGGAACCACTTGGTTGTGTCTGAATAGAGGAAAACTAAAACAGAATACCCCTGGTTCTTTCATTGTCATGATCGGGATTGGCTGAGTCTCTGTTCCGGGCTTAGCCCTGGGGATATGGAGGAAGCAAAGATGCTGTTGATGCTTTGCGAGGTCCCAGGCTCCGTGCCAGACACTTCATTTCTCCCTGTTGCAACAAGGCTGTGAAGTAGGCTGTGGGGAAACTGAGGTTCAGAGAAGCTAAATAACTCGCTCAAAGCCACACTGCTGGTAAGTGGTCGAAATGGATCCCGACACAGGCAGACTGCTTTCAGAGCCTGTGTGTGTGGTTGGTTGGGTGCTGATACATGAGGACTTAGCAACGTTCTTCCTGTGCTGAATAGCGGCACTTGAACAGACTTGCGGTAAAATAGTGAGGGACCGGGGGAAGATAGAGTAGCAACACACAGGTCTGTTCTGTAAGAGAACATTGTGCAGGTGGGTAATTGTGGTGTGAACAGTGGCTGGCACTCAGGAGTGGATAGAGAAGACACCGCGGCCAGTTTATAGAAGGCCTTGGAGGCCAGGCTGAGCAGCTTGAACTTCGGCGTGTCCAGAGATGCCCACACTGGCTGTGCCTCTGTGTCCGTTGTCTGATGACTGTGGCCTAACAGACCACCTCAAAACACGGCGATTTGTAATATCTGGCATTATTTCTTAGTCTCGTTTCTGTGGCTCAGCTGGGGGGTCATGGTTCTAGTCTGGGCTTCATGGGCTTGGCTCCAGATGTTGGATTCGGTTCAAATCTGCTTTATGTATTTCTCAGTCTTCTGGAGTCAACAGTCTTCTCAACAGCAGATGCCCAGAGCACAATCCCAACCTCTCAAGTACATTTTAAGCACCTGCGCTTGGCACGTCCCATTGGCCAAACAAATCACATGGGCCAAGCCCAGTATCACTGAGACAGGAAACTATATTATGTTCATGGAAGTCCAGGGCAGGGAGTGAATATTTGTTGAACAATAGTCTTATCTACCACAGCATCAGACCACTTGAGGAGTTTATAAAAATATAGGTTTGTGGGACCCCACTCCCAGGGATAGAGTCAGTGAGTCTGGGGTGGGGCCTAGGGATCTGCATTTTTAAATACTCCTTAGATGATTCTTTTTTTTTTTTTTTTTAATGTTTTATTTATTTCTAGGAGACAGAGACAGAGACAGTGGAGTAGGGGAGGGTCAGAGAGAGAGGGAGTCACAGACTGAAACAGGCTCCAAGCTCTGAGCTGGCAGTCAGCACAGAGCCCGACGCGGGGCTCGAACCCACGAACCGTGAGATCATGACCTAAGCGAAAGTCGGATGCTTAACCAACTAAGCCACCCAGGCGCCCCAGTCCTTAGGTGATTCTAATACAGTAACTCCCTGGAAATTTTCAGACCATGGGGAGACCATATCTATATTTATGAAAGATGACCGTGATGGCTGTGTAGAAAAGAGAGGTGGGGGGCACAGCTGGGTGCAGGGGGGACCAGGGAGGCTGTTACAGAAATCCAACTGTGAAATGGTGGCCTGAACCTGATTGGTATGTGGAATTAAGATAGGAAGATGAATTTACTAGTAATCTCTTAAAGGAGATAGAACAGTGTTTAGCATAGTATAAAGGGCTTGCCTAAAGCCTCTGCATCCACTATCAAATCATTATTTTAGGAAGATTGAACATGAGTGTGGGCAGGACTGGGAGTAAGGAGGGAAGAAGTTGGAAGCAGGGAATGCTGTTAGGAGGCCATAAATTAACTAATTGCTCTCCTTCTCCTGGACCAGCAGTTAGAATGTCAGTTGTAGGCCAGCCCTAACAACCACCCAGGAAAAAGCTGGGCCTGGGCTCTGCTCCTACATTTACTGATTTTCAGTAGGTCTACCTAAGAATGTATATATTTAAAAATATCATATCTGCCCAGATAATTCTGCAAAAGTAGACGCAGAAGGTAACTAATGACGTAGAAGCCTTACATTGTACCCCTGTGATGGCACCAGAATTAGATCAGAGGTGTTCTGCACTTGATGTCCAGTGACCTTGGAGACATTTCTTGACCCCTGTAGTCGATTTGTTCCATAAAAAGGGATTGTAATTCCTGCCTTAAAGGGTTGCCCTGGAGACGCTAGAAGAACCATGAGAGCATCGAACGCCTGGACCCTCGGCTCCCTCTCGCCGCCTTTGTGCCCTCTTCTTTTCCCCTGCACCAGCTAGAAGAGGTTCCTGGGTTGGGCTGGCCTTTCCGAGCACCCATCTGCCTTGCAGGAGTCCGTCCCTGGCCCCACCTGGGCCAGCCCCTTGTCCATCCCCGGGAGAGTCTGTCTCTGCAGTCCACACTTGACGTTTTCATTGCTTCTTAGTGGTAGGCCCGTGGACCTCGGGAACCTGCCAGGCACTCCTCGCTCAACGAGACTGGCCCTGTGCCTCAGGGACCAGAGCCCATGTCCCCCTGAGATGGGAAGAGTGATCAGATAAGCAATACCCTGGGTAAAACCCACTTGACAAAGACGTTGCTAGAAGCCTTCACGGTAGCACCTGGCTTTTCACCTTCCGATTCAGATTAGAGTTTTTTCATCAATGCTTGTTACTGTTTACTATTCTTATTTTTCAAAATGAGAATTACTTTATTAGTTTTTCTGATACTAAGCTTACACATGTTTAGTGTAATTTTTTTTTAAATTAAGAGGAAAGTAATTGGAGTCTCTTGACCCAGAGATGACCATCGTGAACATACCAGTGCAGACTTCCAAGCTATCTCTGTAAGGGTATACGTCATATTACAAGAGAAAGGATTACAGTGTATACACATGATATACCCAGTGCGAGAACCTTTATTATTTAAGGTATTATCATTTAAATGTGAGTTCTTACCATTGGTGTTAATAGTTTATTGTCATATGGTTAAAAGTTTGAGTAAGAAAGTCTTTAGGAGACAGCCTTGCGCACACTTGGTTTTGTTCTTTTCCCCTGACAGAAGGCACTATTCTGGAGTTTGGGGTGTGTGGTTTTGGTTTTTGTTTTTTAAATAAGTGAGACAGAGGCTGATTGTTGTTTTATCAACATTTTTAAAAGTGTATTTGTTTACTTTGTTCCTGCTTATTAAAGTGTCACATATGCCCACTGTAGAAAATGTAGAGTTCAGGAGACTATTTTAAAACACGGGGAAGAATCCACACCATAAGCCCATATTACAGATGCAACTGCCCTTAACATTTCGGAGTATTTTTTCTGCTTTTCTTCTTTTTTTTTTTTTTAACTACATAGTTTTTAACACGACTGAGAATATGTAGTATGCATCCAGTTTTGTACTCAGCTTTTTATATTTTCTGTTCAGCATTAAAACCATTAGCATTTTCTCGTGTCTTAAACAGCTATTTCTGATGGTTACAAAATCGTCTGTCGTGTGGTTTTACCATAATTCACTGTCTTAAGCCTCTTGTTGGACATTTAGTTTGTTTAAACTTTTTTGTTATAAATAAGGTTGCAGTGAATATTTTTACACATAAATCTTTGTTGAGATGATTTCCCTAGGATAGAGTCCCAAGTGTGGAATTATTGCACAACGGGAATGCATATTTTTAAGATTCTTGGTATGTACTGCCTAAATCACTCACAAGGTTTTTAGAGTATGTATATTTTAAAAAATTTGTTGCCTTTTCTAATCCCTAACATCTGAACCCAGAATTTTTAGTGTGAGCCTGAAACGCTGCTTATCTTGGAAGCATTTTTCTTTTTGCTTTTATTTCTACACTCCATAGAAAAGATTAAGTTATTCTTTGTATAAATCTATACAACCTTTCTAAAATAGTATAGTGATAAAGACCCAAATCCATATTTTTCTGATTCAGTGGCTTAAGAATTTATCCAAAAGAAATTGTTGAGTATCTTACCTACAGAGGTATCTGTTGGAAACTGAAAACTATCTAAATTTCTGACAGTGGGAAAATAAATTGTTTTCCATCCACTTACTGTAATTTCCATATAGAGATAGTTATAAAAAATATTTTGCAGACTCGGTAAGTTTCTTTCGGAATGTATTTATTTATTTGTTTATTTTAATGTTTATTTTTGAGAGAGAGTCAGAGCGCGAGAGGGGTAGGAGCAGAGAGGGAAGGAGACACAGAATCCGAAGCAGCTCTGGGTTCTGAGCTGTCAGCCCAGAGCCCGACATGGGGCTTGAACTCACAAACTGTGAGATGATGACCTGAGCTGAAGTCAGATGCTTAATTGACTGAGCCACCCAGGCGCCCTGGAATTTATATTTTTAAGGTAGGTTATATAACAATATTATGATATGACTTCATTTTTATAATGAAACCTTCCATGTACATAAAAAGATTGGCGGCTTAGGGGCGCCTGGCTGGTTCAGCTGGTAGAGCATGTGGCTCTTGATCTTGGGTTTGTGAGTTCGAGCCTCACGTTGGGTGTAGAGATCACTTAAAAATAAAATCTTTAAAAAAAAGATTGGCATCTTATCCACTAGAGAATGTTCATCATTTCAGGCAATGGGATTGTGAACAATTTCAATATTATTCTTTGTGGGATTTTTTTTGTATGTTCCAAAATTCTTTTGAGGTCAGATTTTTAAAAACAATGTTATAAAACTGTTCCTTCTTTGCTGTATAAAAATGAAAGGATTCGGTTATAGGTTCTATCTGTATAGTCCCTTCTGACCCCCCTGCCCCCCCGGCCCCCCCCCACAACTTCCCAGGCCAGCTCTGCTAAAGAAGGACCGGGGCCTACCCGCCCGTGACTCTGACATCTGCCAGCCTGCTGTTTCACCTTTGCTTCAGTTTGCTATAAATGGGCCTGCAGAGCATGAAAGCACTTGGCAGAAACCACCAGTAAATCTGGCCAAGATCTTTCACTGCTGCTGCCTTTTTCTGAGGAGCTTGCTTCTCTGAAGCGAGGCTGGATGCCGGTGGCTGGAGGAGGGCAGGGCTACTAGCGGACAGGCACGCAGGCAGGGGGCTGGACCGGGTGAGGCAAGGGGTGCTCCGACAGGCCTCAGGAAGGGTGACTTCACCCAGCTCGCCCCAGTGTGCGGTGTGTCCCTGTCGTCCCCTTTCCTGTGTCTGCCTTCCGCTCTCCTGCACTAGAAGGGAGAAGACGGGGGAGGGGGGCGGCGGGGGGGCAGTGGTGGTAGGTGGTAGTGGTGGTGGCGGTGGCGGTGGTGGCGGTGGTGGCGGCATATTAAAACGGAAAGGGCTCTTGCTTTGCGGGCACACAGGCCTGACTGACTCCCTTCCCAGCTGCCCAGGTTAGTGCTGGCTTCACCTTCTAAGCCTCTGTGAAGTGGGAGTAGTGGTTCTTATCTCCCAGGACTGACGAGAGGACCAAATGGCATGTGTTAAAAGCGGCTGGTGTGGTTGCTGGTCCTCACTAATTGTCCACCCTATTCGCCCATCCTGTTCCTTCCCCTACACTGTGAATGTAGGACTGGGATCAGCTGTTGGAGTGACCCCCACACAGCTCGACTGGTGCTGAAGGGGTGGGGGGCGCCCCAGGGGAGTCGAGACACCATACTGGTGGTTGGGGTGGGTGAGTTCCTGGCTCAGTCACACCACTGACTTTCTGATGTGACCTTGGGCAGGAAAGTTAACATTTTATGCCTTGGTTTACTCCTCTGTACAATGGGGATGATACCTGTCCCACCTGCCTTACAGAGGTTATGTGTGGTTGTTGGATTTGGGTGAAATAACAGGACAAAGCCCCTTTGCATACTGATGAACTACTGTGCAGGTGAAATAATGAAATATTCACAGTGTTTTGAAGGGAGATAATAACAACATTTCATATATTTTGAGGATCATGTGAAATAGTGCACAGGAAGTTTTTAGCCCCGTGTCTGGCATGTAGTAATGGTAAGAGGAGCTGGGGGGGTGGTGTCATTGTTGGTAATCATCGTTATCTTAAGCCTGCTAAAGACAGACAAGATGAACTTGCGGCCTGACTGTCCCCAAGGACACTTTGTGCCTACAATTTGGAAAGTTAGTAAATATTTTCATGAATCGATTAACTTGAAGTCAGGAAATGATAATAAAACTCAGAGTAACACAAGCAGTATTTGCATAGCAAATGCATATTTGCCCGTTTACACTGTGCCTGCATATTCATGAAGGCGCTTAGCCAGCACCACTACTCTCTGAGGAAGGGCCAGCGTCCCCATTTGAGAGATGAGGAAACTGAGGTTCAGTGACTTACACATTGTTACCCCACTGAGAATTTAATCCAGCACCCACGTTATCGCATTGTTACCCTAGGTATTCTTCCTCCCCCTGGTCCCCATTCCTGTCCCCAAACTGCCCTCCATGCCATTTTCCCAGAGTAGCTGTGGCTGTGTGATGCTTGTTCCTGGCTGTCCCAGACTGCCAGCCTCCAGGCGCTGGAGTGAGTGCTGCCGGGCATAGTGCCACACGCCCAGCGAGGCAGCCGCTCCGGGAGGGGACAGGCACCTGAAGAGTCCATGGCGGAGGGCCCCAGTGACCCGTTCTGAGCCCAGCCGCTCCTCCAGGGAGCCCAGCGGCCCCTGAAGCGGTGCCTTCCCAGCTACAAAACAGGCAGCTGTTGCTATGGTGCGAGCCTGGTTGTCTCCCTGCCTGGGGCCAGTTGCTCCAAATCTAAAACTAAAAACTAAAGTTTCTTCCCTTTCCAGTGCATTTAGTTCCCAGTTCCTGGCCAGGGCCTGCGGTCTGCAAATAAAGATCTCAAGCAGCTGCTGTGCCACGGAGCACACAGACCCTGGGCCCCATGCTGCCCCCTTCAAGGCTTCCTGCCTCAGGTCTCTTTTAGATGTGGGAGGGAGGCTGCAGCATTTACTAAATTGTATTCTGCTTCTCGTGTTGATACCCTCACCGTGAGAAACGGACAGTCTTAACCATGTGTACTCGTATGCCTTTAAATTTTCATTATTAAAAATAAAGCGCAGATATATATATATATATTATATATAACTTCAAAATTTTTTTTCAGATTTAATTCATGTGGTAATTTCCCAGTGGAGAGATAAGGGGGTTAAAAAGTGTTACGGACATTTACATCCACTTGAATTCCTGCCATTGATGTACGAGCTTATCCATTTTACCGTAGCTTTCTGGAGTCGAATATTGTAATTAAAAATGACAACATCAGATTTTGTTAACTACGATAACTGAATTATATCTTGTTTTCATTTACATTTCTTCATTGTCTGTTGAATTTCCCAGGTTTGTTAACCAGATTTACCTCATCCTTTTTCAAGACTTCTTTTTTCTGCCTAAACTATTGGGATCTTAATATTCTTATCAATTATGTGTATGTGATTGTATAGCAATGTGTATGTGATTCAGATAGCGGAGTGTCTGAGGTGTAGGAAATAATAGATGGTCATTAGGTGACAGATAAAGATGGCTTCTCTGTGTTCTATAATAATAGTTAGGAATTTGGGGCTGTGGAGTCAGACTACCTAGGATTAAATTTTGTCATCGCTACTTTCAGCTGTGTATCCTGAACAAGTGATTCGCTGCCTCAGTTTCCTCATCTGTGAAATGGGGAGAACGTATTGGTTTCATGGGGCTGCTGTTAGGAATCAGCACGGTCCCTAAATAGTGTGAGTTTTTGTCACCATTACTGTTTCCCAGATCACTTTCCCATAGTTTTGGAATGTCTGTCCCCCTCTCCTTCGCCAGCCTCAGTTATCAGGCTGCCTTGTTTTGTGTTCCCGCAGATCAGCCAAATGGCCGACGACACAGCTGCAGAGCTGGATAGGCATCTGGCAGTGAAGACCAAAGAACTCCTCGGATGAAAGTCCACCAGGGCAGCAGTGCTCCAGAGCCCGGTTTCTGGTGGAGCCCGTGGGTGGCACATGGGCACCTCTCTTCCCGTCCACACGGAACGCTGCCGCCTTGCAGCTGTCAGCGCCTGTGAGGCTCAGCCTTCCAGTGGGACACCCAGACTTTGTTCTTCTCTTCCTCCTGCTCCCTGCTCAGACAGTATCTGCTGCAGACAGATGGCCTCTACTTCAGGCATTTGCCCCGATCGTGACATTGACAAGCAACTAGGACTATTGGCAGGCTTAGCCCACCTGTTTCTCATCTCGGGAGCCTCCTTTTCAATTAGTCGGGCCCTGTCCCAAACTTTGAACTCTGGGCTGGTGTGGGCCTTCACCTGTGACCGGATCCCTTTGCCAGAGGCCCATTTTTACATAACAGTAAAATCAAAATAAATTGTAGAGAATAACAAGCACAAAGGATGGGTAGAATCGGTCTGGATTAAGGTCCTCTACGAACCTTTACATAAAGCCACCAGAATAATGCTTCTGCCTCTGAGTCATTGTCATACATGCTCCTTTCTCTGCCTGGACCGTTCTTCCACTGCTGATCTACCCAGCCTGTCCTGTTCATCCTTCACGTCTCTGCTTGGGTATCACTTCCTCCAGGAAGTCTTCCTTATTCCCCCAATCTAGGACTCCTATTATTGGCTCTCAGGACTGTCTACTGCTTTGAATTGAACTTTTTGGTAATTTGTCTCTAGATCTTCATTTTCCTCAGTCTTGGCATAATGCCTGGAACATAGTAGGCATGGAGATATGTTGTGAATGACTTGCACAAAGTAGCCGCTCAGCAAATGCTGGCTTCCTTTCCTGTCTTTCCCATCATAACACCAAGAGTTTTCCACTCTTGCCTTTGTCCTCAGCATATACTTGGTGATGAGATACCTTTACCCCAGGGCCTGTCTGTTACTGACAGACAAGTGGTTCGTTGTGGCTCATCTTTGGGTGCTGGGTTGTTACGTTTCTTTCTCCAATAATCAATAGCAGTTGATTCTCCAATAATAATTAATCTTCCTTCCTTCCTTTTCCCCTTTCCTCCCCTTCCCTTCCTTTCTTGCTTTCTTTTCTCTCATTTATAATATAGCCGTCCTGAGCTAGATGCAGTTCTAGGCAGTATCTTTAATCTTCATGGTGCACTCGGGAGATTGTGTATTCTCTCCACTTTACAAATAGAAAAACTGAGAACTGAGACTTGAGAGTATTGGGTAACTTGCCCAGAGTAACTAGCCCAGTAAGTGATAGAGGGTTTCATTCTTCACTGTCAGTCTCGGTTTACAGAGAGGGAGGAGCTCAAAAGAGGTCACATTTCTTGACAGGGCGGGGAGGGGGTTTTACACAGCTCGCAAGTGGCAGAGCTGGGATTCACACTGAGGCCTGATCTAAAGCCGGTGCTCTGCCCACACATCCTGCAGCCTTCATAAACATTTAGTGCGCACACTGTGTGTCAGGTGCTGGGAATGCAAAAATGGGTAAGACGTGACCTCTGTCTTTGAGGGGTGCGTGGCACTCTGGACTGAGTCGCTACCCAGGGTGCCCCAGGTGGACGGTAGGAAGTCCGTTCCCATTTTGTCTGCCTTCAGAGTGGACCCCACATGGGTGACAGCCAGGCCTGGCTGCACTCCTTCGAAGCAGCACTCAGTTTCCCTTTGCTGTCTGACTCCTCTCAGATTCTGTCCCTTGTGGGAAGTGTGCTCATCTCCCTCTGCTTGTACTGGTGAAGCACACTGTGCACAGACAGTGGGGGTTCAAGGTCAGAATCAGGTCAAAAATGAAGGAAGCTAAACAGCCTCCTGCCCCGCTTACCTGTCCCCAGTCCAACCCTGCTTGCCAGCCCCCGAGTAGCCATCACACGATCGGAAGTCAGCTGGGGGAAGAACAGGGATAGAAATAGCAATCAAGGAGCCTTTTTTGGGGTAAGCCACATGGCGGGGGCATTGCAACAGCCTTTCGTGAGTGACCGAAAGCCCCCACTCCTAGCAAATGTGCTTCTCAAAGATGCAGGATTTTTTAATAAACAGAGGAAATGATAAATTATGTTGTAACTCCACTCCAAAGGCATTTGGTTCTTAACAGCCAAATCCTCTGTAGTCTTTAAATAAACAAAAACTTATTTGGTGAACAGACAGGGTTGGGGAGGGGGTTGGGAAATGAAAGATTTTCTGTACTTGGGTCCCACATGTCAACAATTTCTCTCCTGTGTGTATGTTGGCCAAAGCTGTATATCATGATAAATGAATAAAGGAAAACCTCCAGCCCAGGGCAGTCAGACAGCTCAGCAAATGGCTTTCAGCTGATTGCTCTATTTCAGTTGACATTTATCAAAGAGTTTCTCTGTTCTTCTGTGTCGGGGCTGCAATGGTGGCAGGGACGAGAATGAGACTACCTGTTTGGATCTGCTGAGTAACGAGTAATGCTGGAGCGGTGACTTCTCCTTTCTCCTTCCTTGAACCTCTTTCTTTCAAAAGGAAAAGTTGGGCATGGAAGTTCCTCCCCTTGCTAGAAGAATTAACCACTCCTCTGTTCAGGTCAACGACTTCCCAAGTCCCATGAAAATTACAGACCAAAGAGAAATCTAGCGCTTTTGCCCCGTTTATTTTTTTCTTTTTTACATGGTGTGTGTGTGTGTGTGTGTGTGTGTGAAATTACAAAAGAAACTGTAATGTAAAAAGTTAAAAGAGAAACTTCTTATAAGTTCCTAATCTCACTGCCCATTAACAATTAGATGTATATCCTTCTGGATCTTTATACATGCATTTTTTTTTTTAATTTATTTTGAGAGAGAGAGAGAGTATGCATGAGCCAGGGAGGCACAGAGAGGGAGAAAAGGAATCTCACGCAGGCTCTGTGCTGTCAGCACAATGCCCAACAGGGCTCAATCCCAAGAACCATGAGACCATGACCTGAGCCAAAATCAAAAGTTGGACGCTTATCCAGCTGAGCCACCCAGCCACCCCCATACATAATTTTTAAAAAGCAGGAAAGGGAACTATTCTGTTCAGACTCTGAAGCTTGCTTTTTTTTTTTTTTTTTTTTTTTTTTTAAAACCCAACAACACATCATGGCCATCTATTCATATGTGAACATGGAGGTAGAGCTCACTCCATTTTCATTGCAATGTGACATTCCATAGTATGGATGTACCTGACCTGACTTTACTGTTAACCCTATCATATTAAAACAACAACAACAACAACAATAAAAAAAAACATTTAATATGCATTGGAGGATGTTTCTATTTAAAGATGGTTTTTGTTTTGTTTTTTGAGAAAAAAAAAACCTTATTCTAAGTTTATGTGTTTTGGTGAGTTCTACCTACCTTCCCTCAACCTCAGACTAACATTTATTGAATGCCTACTGTAGACCAGCTACCGTGCTGGATGCTTTGCATGCATTACTACATTTAAACTTCTGAACAATACTAGCTGGTGTAAGTATTATCCCTGTTTATGTAGGAGAAAACTAAGGTTCAGAATGGGCATTTAATTTATCCAAGGTCACACAGCTAGTAAGTGCCAGAGTGAAGTTTGAAACTCAGATCTGACTTTGAAATAGGTCCTTAATCCGTGCACTTCAGTTCATAAGTCTTCACCAAACACTTAATTCAGAATGCACTCAGTACTGCTCCGGGCCCCAAAGGTGATAGAAGAGAAGCGGAAAACTCATTTTCATGAAGACAATTAGCTATTTCTAACAAAGGCTCACGTTTAAAGTTGCACGTGGTAAACACGGAAGGGATGGTAGCTCTGAGGGAGGCAGTAAAGATTTATGTTTATATATTTCTACCTCACCTGTTTGGCAGAGTCCTCTAAAACTTGTAAGAGAAGCAGTGAATGAGCAGAAAGACCACCAGCCATGAATAATGGTAATAATAGTCATGGTATTGGTGGCACCAATAACTGGTCCCTTGGTCCCTTTTAGTTTTCAAAGTGCTTCTATATCCTTTATCCCACTGAAGCCACCGAGCAAAGCTTTGTGGTTTCTTTTGCTCTATAATATGTGGTCAGTTTCCATGATGTGCATGAAAGGAAGTGTGTCTGTTTTAGGGGAACAAATTTTATTATGTACATAAGAAATGTAGTTTATAGATTATATTGTTTAGGTTTTCTGTATTATTTTTTGGCCTTTTGATGAGTCTGGGGCTGAAAGTAGTGTGTTTCAGTCTCCCGTTGTTAGCATTTGTATTTCTTCTTGCACTTCCTATAATTTCTGCCTGATGACTTGCTACTGTGCTCTCTGATGCCCAGATAGCCTGGCTCTTCTGTCATCTTCATATCATTCAGTGCTTGCGAATCTGAGTTCCGTCCTGTCCTCTATCGAGATCAGAGCTGCTGCCTGCTTTTTGTTTATGTTTGCTTGGTATATCTTTGCCGTTCCTTTGTAGCTTTTCCAAATCACTGTTTTAGGTGTGTTTCTTAGAGTTGGGTTTTGTTCTATGAAGCATTCTGAAACTCCTTTGTAAAATCATCCTCATTTTTAATTGTGATAAGATACCCAAAATATAAAATTCACCACCTTAACCATTTCTGAGCGTACAGTTCAGTGGTAGCACGTGCATTCACATCGTTGTGTATTATAGAGATCTCCAGAACCCTCTTCACCTTGCAGGACTGAAGCGCTCTACCCTTGAAACAGCTCCCCCTTCCCACCTGCTCTCCGGCCCCTGACAACCACTGTTCTACTTTCTGTCTCTATGAATTGACTACTCTGAGTACTTGATGAAGTGGAATCCTACAGTATTTGACCTTTGGTGTCTGTCTTATTTCACTCAGCGCAGTATCCTCATGGTTCATCCATGTTGTAGCAGGTGTCAGAATTTCCCTTCTTCAGGCTGAATAGTGTTCCATTGTATATACAGTAAACACCTTGGATTGTGAGCAACTTACTCTGTGAGTGTTCCGCAAGACGAGCAAACATTTCTAATAAATTCGAACTTGATAAACGAGTGATGTCTTGCAATACGAGTCATACACGACACTGAATGTCACATGATCACAGCTAAGCCAATGGCTCTTAAAATTCGCATTGCTATACAAGTGCTTTGGAATACAAGCATGTTTCTGGAATGAATTATGCTCACAAACCAAGGGTTTATATTCAGTAAACCCTTGGTCTGCAAGCATTATATATATATTATACATATAATATGAAATATATAATATAAATAATAGGAAATATATATAATATGAAAGATGTATATATATACATAATACATATATGTGTGTGTATATATATATACATATATATAATGTGTATGTGTGTATAACATGAAACTTGTTTTCTTTTGTAGGCGACCTTAACTCATTCACACTCATTGATAATACTGAAATGTTTAGTAGAACCCTACATTTACTCTTTGTTCGCATGCAGTATTACCATTGGGTGATTTGGTGTCTAAACCCTTGGCCGATTAGGGGCTGAATATTAGGTTGAGGGGAAGGTTGCTTCTGCAGAGAGGAGGTTCACTGCTTGTTGAATGAACAAAT